CATATGCTCACCTCTAGGGCCAGAGATGGGGACAGCCCACCTGGATTGAGTGACTGCATGGCCTGGGTGGGGTGGGGGTGGGGCTGTTAGCCAAAGTGGGAGGGGGATAGAGCTGGGAACAGAATTACACAAGCCCTTGAGGAATTGCAAACAGTCGAGATGCCGCCCTATAGGACATACAGGTAGGGGGTCCCTAGAGGCAAGGCCAAGTGGCAGCTCAGGTCTTGGGCCAGCAGGGCCTCCAACACCAGATGAACGGCATGGTGTGTTAGCCTGTGGCATTCTACTCTCGTAGCCTGGACCTGTGGAGTGTGATACTCAGGCCCCAAGCCGACCTACCAAATGCACATCTCGGGCAAGGCCAGCTGAGAGCTTAGGCACCCGAGGTAAGGGGATCCAGTGCTGTGTCAGCAGAAAGGAGAAAAACAGAGGCTACTGGGCCCCCGGCCCCCTCCTTCACCCATTTCAAATCTAGAACATTCTCAGGGAAGTAGAAAAAAATGAGACCTTGCTGACCCACCCCCTTGCTATGGCTATGGCCCTCGACCCGCGTTGTTGGGAGGATGAAAGGAGCTGGTGGTGGACAGGGTTGGGAAGCAGTGGTGTGATGCCCTGCCCCCACCCCTCCTACCCAGCTCCCAGGGACCGAGTCCTCGATCAGTAAATACAAGTTCATTAATAGCTTGATTAATCACACCCCATATTTTTGTGGTGCCTTTAAAAATAAAACATTTGAAAGCACTTTCACACCCACCTTGGGCCTCAGAGTTACACGGCGGGTCTTATCCTCCCAGACTGCAGGTGAGAAAAGGGGAGGGGCGCTCAACCTCAGAGCAGTAGCATGTCGGGGTGTGGCAGGGGCATCCTGGGGTGTGGAGCCTTCTCCCTGCCATGGTTCTGCCTGTGGGCTGATCCGCGTCTCTTCCAGGTCCCCTGCAGAACAAGAATAAAAGGGCCACCTTTTGTCTGACCTTCCAAAGTTCAAGGGAGAATAAGTTCAGTCACTCAACAAATGCTCCATCCGTATCCAAGCCAGGCCTGGGCTTCTGCTTGAAGCAGAGTCAGCTTACAAAAAGATCCACCCCAGTTCTGAATGTGGTATATACCCTGGAGGGAGGCGCAGGGGACAATGTGGACACTCAGGCAGGTGACAGTGTACATCCAGGAAGGCCTCTTAGAGGAGGTGGCACATTTGCTGAAATTTAAAGGCTGGGTGGAAGTCCTCAGATGGGCTACATAGAATAGCTACATCATGGTCTACTCCACTGGTCTCTTATGCCCTCTTGCACCCCAGCCTCCCTGCACACATAGACACACACACACGTACGCACATACACGCATGGTCTTCCCAGGGCCAGCATTGCTCCCACCCTGAATAGAGCGGCCAGAGAAAGAGTGCCTTTCTCTGGGGCTGACTTGGGCAGCCAATGCCCTCCTGAGACAGGTGGGGGCCAGCGGGCTAGCCTTAGGGCTCACTGGAAGTGGGCTTCCCACTTCAGCGCCCGAGTGTGCACACAGCCCCGTCTGCAGTTCCCGGTGACCAAGAGCCATTAGGGAACTGCTAGTAAGTGAAGGAGGTCTTCTAACTGAATTCCAGCAGGCAGCTGGGCCACGTCCTGTGAGGGCGGGAGAGCCTTAGCCTGGGCGTGGTGGTTGGAGAACTGGGGGTAGGGTTCGGGATGTGGCAGGGCCCAGATAGCCGGTGGGCCCTGCACCTGTCTGCCCTCCTGAAGCCCTGGTGTGTCTGCCCTGGCAGAGCATTCCCTCCATGTTTGTCACCTCAGTCGCCCCAAAGGGAGAGGCAATGGACACCCCACTTCCAAGTCCCCAATCACTAACATCAGACTAAGCAGCCTTGAGTCTGGTGGTGGGGACAGAGGCCTTAGCCACTCATTTACTTCTCCAGTACCAGTGAGGACAGACCCCAGATGCAGAGAGGGTTAAACGGTATGTGTGATTTCCTAGAAGAGTGAGGTGCGGGTGAGGCCTCTCTTTCCTGAGGAGAACATAGGAAAGTGCTGCCAGAAGAGGAAGAAAGGGTGTTTCAGAGAGAAGATGGTGGGCAGAGACCTGGAGGTGGGAGGCATTGCCTAGGAGGGATCAGTGGATGTTTTTGCACAGGAAGGCTGGAGAGTTGACTGAGCCAGAACACAAGGCTCAGGGATATCAACCAAAGGCATTGGCACCATCCTAAAATGCCTATGGGAGCAAGGCAGACCACAGAAATAGAAGAAGCAGACCCAGGGTAGGATAATAGAGAGTGGTGGGGACTGCAGCAAACTACAGAGCTTATGCTCTGTTGAAAGGACCATAGATCATCTGGCAGTGAGCGTGCACTGCTTCGCATTATCTTCCATAGATGAATGAGTACAGGTTCCATGTCAAAGAGAAGGTATATTCACTCTAGTAGCCTATGATGTGGAGGGAGAGAGGCCTGAGGTTCACACTGGGCCTTAGTTTAGGCAAGAGGCTGAACTGGGATGGTGAGGCGTCAGGCAGATTGCAAGTGCTGACCACAGGGTGGAGGTCGCATAGTGGGCTCAAGGGGCAAAGGGAGAGGAGGCCAGCTCTGCTGCCCAGGCAGCTTCTGTAGCCTCAAGAGAATATCCAATGGGGCCTGAATCTACCACCACCCACGGCCTTAGAGTGTCCTTGCTAGAGGGCATAGCTGTAACCTGGAGGGTACCTCTTAGGTTCCACCCAATAAATGTACCCCCTGGGTTGGGAGGGGAGGCCGCAGCAACGTGGTATGACGGAGGCCCCGGAGAAGTGAGCTATGTCCCTTATTGGTCACAGTACATTTATTTTTCATTAGCAGTTAAATGCAGACATGAGGGATTGTGCTGGGTTCAGTGGGCGGCTGACGTGAGCAATGCTTGGTGCAGTGATCGATAGGGAGGCTGGAGGGTCACACACCCACCCTCTGCCCACATCGTGAGCCAGGGCCCCTGCCCACCCAGCCCCCAGCCAGTAGGCAAGCACAGGCCATCGCACTGAGCCTCTGCAGGTGAGGCCTGGGCAGACCCGGCACCTACCACTTTGGACTCCCATGCCCTTCTGGAGCCTGTGACACCTGCCTCCACGCCCCTCTGGGGGCCCTGCTAAGGGGTAAAGCTTGGCCCCAGGTCCACAGAAATGCTGTGGCTTCCCTGATAAATGGCTGGAGAGGCCACTGGACTTACCAGCTCCCCATTCCAGGCCCACCCTCTGGAGCTCGCCTTCCATTTCATTCTCTGGACCTTGCGACCTGAGCCCAATGCAGCCCTACCCTGGCTGAGCCCACTACCTGGGTCAGGAGCTTCCAAGTGGCTGCTGAGTGACAGTGAAGAGCATATGTAATAACAAAAGCAGCACAGGGCTATCCCTCAACATTTTGTGAGTCCAGGGCCAAAGCTGAGGGGTCTGGAGTAAGTGACTCCCACTCTGGCCTCAGAGTCCTCGTTTATAGGATGTCTAGATGGCTCTTCCCCTCTGCCTATATCCCCATCTCCCCATCCAAAGAGCAAAGCACCTGCTGGCTCTGTGCCTCAATTTCCTCATCAGCTCCCGCCCCTGAAGAGATTGCTATGTGGGTTACTGAGCTGAGGGAGATGAAAACCTTTGCCATTATCAGTGCAAAACCACTGGGTATTAACAGCAGCTAACATTTATTGAGTACCATCTCCCCACTTTGCAAGCAAGGAAACAGGCTGGAGGGGAGGGGCTTGCTGAAGTCGCACCCCGTTTCTCAGCCGCTTGGCAGGCATTTCTAGCTCACCTGCCCGGCCCATTTCTACAGGACCAAGCACAAGTCCCCTCCCCTAAATTATGACCTTGGAGTGAAGGGGGCGGACTCCCACCTTAGAAAGAGAGGGTCCCTATGTGGGCAGAAAATGAGAGCAGCGTAGAGGCCCCTGGGGGATGGGGTCCAGGCCAGGGAGCCAGGTCTCCCCTTTGGGAGCCTTCTGTGGGGAAGGTAGTGGAGCCAGGAGTCTGATCTCTGTGAGGCATCTCCAGACTCTCCCACAGGCAGACAGGACCTCCATGGCACAGATGACAAAAGAGGAACTCATTCAAGGTCACCACTAGCAGGGAGCAGAATGGGTTTCTGAAGCCCGATTTTTCCCTTTTTGCGCCGTGGACTGTGAGTGTGTACTGGTTGTGGCATCACTGCAGCCCTGAGGGAGGCCAGGCCGTCAGGGGCCTGTTTGGTGGGCAGCTGGGTGGGGAGGCTGGGGGTGCCCCCACTCCATCCTCCCACTCACTTCCACCCTCACCCCCACCCTCTCAGGAGTCCTGCTGGTCCAGCAGCCTGTCAGACTGCTGTGGGGTTTACCTCTGCCAAAGCCTCAGAGCCAATTACCTGTGTAATTAGTAACAAATGACTTGTGGGATGGCTGTGGTTTTCAGTTAAATTAGAAAGAAACCCATATTCAGGTCTCCTTGAAGGGTGGGACGTGGCCCAGGTCCCTCAGGCTCCCAGACAGTCTCCTGGCTCCCATCCTGCCCGGGCCTGCCCCGCAGCCCACCTGCACCCAGCCTTCCAGGGCCTCTCCCGTAGGTCTGCCACCTCGTCTCCTTCATTCACTGGTATTTTCTGAGCTCCTACTGTGTGAGGGGCCAGGAATAGGGATCAACTCACCAGAAGCACCAGAGGGAGGGGCTCCTGCCCGCCGGGGCCTCGCTCTCCCTCCATCTTCCCCCGGACTCCAGGGGGGTAGGTTACCTCACCAAATCCCTGAACTCCTACCAGGGAGTTCATCTTGTCTCGTTCATCTCTCCACTTTAGAAGAGGGGGGCTGCTTCTTCCCCCACTTTACAGAGGGGGACACTGAAATGGGGGTGCTTTTAGCAGTCCAGACTGCCAGGCTAGAAGAGGCAGCCTGGCCTCATGCCTCCCGTGGGCCCCACCAGCTGGCTCCCCACGGCCCAGCCCCACCCCTGAGTGGGCAGGGTGCTCCTGGAGGGCCCTGCAAGATCAGTGGAGGCCTGGCTCACCTTCCCCCTTTGCTCTGCTGCAGGTGCCCAGCAGAGTGCCACGGTGGCCAACCCAGTGCCCGGCGCCAGCCCAGACCTGCTTCCCCACTTCCTGGTGGAGCCCGAGGACGTGTACATCGTCAAGAACAAGCCAGTGCTGCTGGTGTGCAAGGCTGTGCCCGCCACGCAGATCTTCTTCAAGTGCAACGGGGAGTGGGTGCGCCAGGTGGACCATGTGATTGAGCGCAGCACTGACGGGAGCAGCGGTGAGGCCAGGCTGGGTGGCAGGTGGGGCCACACATGATGGGGACCTCAGAGGAAATGGAGGCCCAGAGAGGGGCCTGCAGCCATCTCCACTGGACACCTGTGAGCAGGAAGCCAGTACATATATACCAAGGCCTGCCCCAGGAGGCCCCACACCCCTACCCCAGACCTCACAGAATGATGGGGGAATAGAAGGGAAGTCCCTAAAAATGCCCCAAGGGGCCATGGTTGGAGGGGCAGGGTCCAGGCAACTGTGCCAGCAAAGAAAGGGAGTTTGGATAGGGTTGGTTTCAGATGACTGAAGAGCTCACAGACCTCACATTCTGTGATTGTTTAATTTTTGCATTGATTCATTTATTCATTCACACATTCCCTGAGCACCCACTCTGTGCTAGAGACACTGCCCCCACAGAGAGGTGGGCAGCATGTTGACCTCTTAGCGAGTCCTGGGGGCTATGGCAGCCAGAGGAGAGCAGGACTGAGGCTGCACAGTAACTGGTCAGGGAAAGAAGGGAAGGGTGTCTCAGGTGTCCCAGGCAAGGGACATAGCACAACGAAGGCCTAGAGGTGGATGAGCAGTGTGCAGGCAGAGGATCAGCAGGGACAGTGTGGGGTGTGCATAGGGGGCAGTGGTGCCATCCAGGAGCCTCACCCCTTCGGCTCTGAAGCGAGGTCACTGTCCCATGGGATTTCAAGCTGCTGAGTGACATGGACGGAACTGTGGTGATACTCGGGGGCCAGTGTAGGGGCCAGACGGGAGGGGCAGATCCGGAGACTCTGAGGAGAGGGAACCAGTGAGACGTGGAGGGAGAGGTTCCAGGGTAACAGCAGACCCAAGAAGTGCCCCTCGTGCGGGACACCCACGTCCTGCCTTCAGCCTGGCCATCAGCTGCAGGTGACTCCTGCCCAGCTGCAAGTCTACTCCCCAGGAGCAGACCCAAAGCTGACAGTGGCCTCTCCCCATCCTCACCCAGTTATGCTCCTTTCCTCTCCCTTCATCTCGACACTTCGTGGAGCCCTCAGGTTAAGTCCTGAGCCCCTTCCCCCAGGGCCTCAGCCAGCCTGAGACACACAGCACACACTCCTTGTGGGGTGCACAGTCACAAGAGTAAGGCCAGAGCCGCAGTGCAGCCGGGCACAGGCAGGCTGCGCCCGGAACGACTCACACTGATGCCGAGGCAGGCTGGGGACAGAGGGTCCACAGGGATGGCCTACCCTCCAGGCAGGAAGGGTCCCAGGGAAGAGTACTGGCCAAGCTCAGACTTAAGACTACCTGGAACCAGCAATTCCCAGGAAGTGCTGATGGAGGAACGGCAGGCAGGCAGTGGGGCCGGACTGGGGATGGAGAAATGGGCCCGGGGGCAGACAGCAGGACAAGGACGCTGATGCCAGACTCACACTGTGGGCAAAGGGAGGCTGGAGGAGGGCCACCTCTGTCCAGGGGAAACTGGAAGCTCTCATGGTAACCTGGGCATGAGCTGACAAGCCCTGCGTTTAGGCCGCGTGCGATTCAGTCCTCAGAACCAGCCTATCAGTTACAGATGGGATGGAGGCCTTGGCTCCAATGCCTCCAGGGGCCCAAAAGGACCCAACCAGGTGTCTGGTCCACAGAAGTCACACCCCATTGTCCCCACAAGTGTCAGCCCCCAGGTTAGTGGGTTAGTGATTCCTGCCCAGGCCCTTGAGCTGGACAGTGCCCTGACCTGCAGGCGCCCACTGCTGGCAGCTTCCTTCCTGCAGTCCTCAGGTGTTAAGTGAGCACCCGCTCTGTGCCGGGCCTGGGTTAGATATTAGGAAGTCAGCCCCCAAGGCTCTTGGGGCAGGTGACCCAGTTCTGCCCTCTACCCTTGGGAGATGGATGGAGAGGGTCAACGACCTCTGTGGCCCACGAGAGTCCCAGGCTCCATCAGCACCTCCCAGAACCAGAGCCGCTGCCCACACGACCCAGCAGAGGAGCCAGAACCCTCCTGCCTACGTGGGCAGCCTTAGGGCCCACATTGTCCTAGTGGGAGTATCCACCCCCTTGGGCAAGTCCTTTCCCCTCCCTGAGCCTCAGTTTCCTCTACTGTAAATGGGGATGAAGAGGGGCCCCTTACAGGTTGGTCAGGGTAGCCGTGAGTTCTCATATACCCAGTTGGCGCCCAGCTCTAGGCCTTTCCTTTCTCCCCACCCCACGCCCGGGGCCCAGTGCTATTTTGTGGCATAATAAGTCCTTCCCCCAAGGAAAGGACAGGTGAGAAGGAAGAAGCCACAGCCAGAGACCTGCCTTTTCAGAGCCTTGAGGGTCAGTCCTGGAACCTCTGGAGAGGCCCAGGCCAGCCCACTCCTGCTCTCAGCCTCCCTGTCCAGGCTTCCTCCTCCACACACACCCCTCCTTGTCTCCTGCCAGCACAAGGTCTGGAATCCATGGCTTGGCTGGGACACAGGCCCAGCATGCATACCAAGAGCCCCAACATATACTCCCCAATAGGCTCTGCTGACCTTGCTCTCTTCAAGCCAGACAGAGCGGCAGAGCCCATGGGACCTGTCCCACAGTTAT